GTTTCCAACACTGGTGTGGGAAGTTCTACTTTCTAGTCAGACTTTTGTGCCTCTTGCTCTACCACACAGAACTGCATTTTCTAGACTGTTAATTTTTATTTTTAAAATTCTGATCAGAGAGTAGTTTCTGGGCCACATTAGCAAACACAATGTGAGCTGAAGCATTGAAAAATTAATCTAAAACAAGCGTTAATAACGTCATTTTTAAAAAGTTCGAAATTTCAGCTTACTTTCTCCTAAGGGCAAATTTGAAACTTTGACACTGAAAATCGTTGAAATCAAGTTTTTCGTGCTTTTAGAGGTTAAGGTAACTGGTTTTGACCTAATTCCAAATACAAGTATTTTATAGAGCTGTGTAATTGAATCCCAGTGCATTAGGAGACATCATGATGAAATGTCATTGAGGCTAAGCAAGAAGATTGTGAAGATATTACCAATCAAGAGTCAGAACCTGAAAAAAATAAATATATGGAATCCAAAATCCTTGTAGGTAGTTAATCAATGTTAAGTTTATACTCATACAATATATGCTACCTTCCTGATATTAGAAAGCTATTTTAGGGTAGTGTGATGCATGGTCTAAGGGGTGGGGGACCTGCGGCCTCAAGGCATATGTATGGGCTTCCAGATCCCCAAGTATGGTCCCTCGGCCAGATCTAAAGTTCACAGAACAAATTCCTTTATTAAGTTGGATTTAGTCAAAAGGCTACACTCAAGGATCCAGAAGGCCACATGTGCCCCATGACCACATCCGCATCCTTTTTTATTTTTCTTACATGGTTAAATAATGGGAAAAATAGATATGTGTAAATAATGCTAGGAAATGTCCAACAATGTGCAGGTGTAAAATCACTGTGTTTTAAATTTCTGTGTTATTTAGACTTCACATCCATTGAATATGCGGATTTTAGTTTGTTAGGACAAGATTACGCTTTGGTGTAGTGTTCTGGTTGATTTCACTGTGGCATACCCCCAGTGGAATGCTGGACTACTGAGCTCTCTTGGTGCTGATAGAGAAATAAATAAAAGATATACCCTTTAAAAGAAAAGAGCAAATTGTGTGGCAGTGCATACATCACATTTTTGTAAGATAGAAGAAAAGTGGGAGGGAAGTAGAAAATTAACATAAGAAATAGGCAAATTGTATAGTATTTTTACTAATTACTGATTATTACAAACAAGTTTTAATTATTGTTCCATTTCAATGAAATAAAAGTCAAACACTGGTGTTTCAGTGGTAGAATTCTTGCCTGCCAGTGAAAATAAAAGTAAAACCTCAATTACAACACATTTAGAAGACTATA